ATAGATACATAGATATATAGATAGAGAGATAGATATATAGATACATAGATATATAGATATATAGATAGATATAGAGATATATAGATAGAGAGACAGATATATAGATACATAGATATATAGATAGATACAAGAACTTCATGTTGGAACTACATTTAGTTAAGCAATCAATATCGTGGTTTAGTCCCCTCCCCTGAGTAGCGGCACTTTCTTGTGAAGGCGTGTGTTTGGCGTTTTGATAAACGGTTACACTCGGGACGAGAACACGTTCGATTTATGTAAATGACCAGCTAATGCTCCTACAATAAATTACTGTTTGATGTTCTGTAGCTCTACAACAAAAAGCACTTCCACACAGCAAATAGCCATTTTTTAAAGTTGTCCAAACTCTGCTTTCTATATGAGAACACACACACACACATACCTCACACACTCCTGCACTGAAACTCATCTACATCTTCATTTATCCACCTCCACACTATCTGTCTCACTGAATTTAAGGAGTGCTTCGTTGGCATAACTGTCCGCATACAGAAGCAAAGAATTAAACTCCTTGGCCGAGAGATAAAATATGAACTTCCTTTAAAGGACATTAAGGAAATTAAAAATGCTTCCTTTATGTTGCGTTCTGTCTCATAAATGACACTTATTCTTTTTAAAAGCGTGCCCCTCTCACCCTAAAGGCCCAGCCGTTTGGTCCCCGTGTCTTCTCCATCAAGCGGAGTGACGGAGTATTTTCCTGGAAGGCCGTGTGTAAGGCTTGGCATTATTTTCTGTGGAGAAATGCCGCGTAATGCATCCTGTATTGAGGTTAAGGATATGCTTTGACAAAGCTGCCACGGCTTCCCTCTGAGTTCCCTCTCAGTCAGACATACATATCGACGAAAAAGCATTTATGATTCATCATTATTATGGTGCATGGTGAGTGATCGGACTGGTACAAAGACCATGCAATATTCTAATGTCAGAAAAAGGACTGCAATTCACTTTTTTTGAATTATTATTAATCTGCTGACTATTATCTTGATAAAGTAATTCATTGTTTTGTGTATAAAATGTTATAAAATAGTAATAAATTCCATAGTAGTTTCCATAGCCCAAGTTGACATATTAAAATGTTTTTTTTGACTCACCAACAGTGAAAAAAAAACCCGGAAGATAATCAATTTTCAATAAACATTTGAGAGGACGAAACCAGATAATTTAGCTTTTTTTGTTTTTAAATGGTTGAAACAAATAATTGATTATCAATATTGTTTCCAATTGTATTGCCTCTATATGATCAATGGAACTATCCTTTCAATGCAAGGTCAGGTAATCTGGAGTCTGGTGTCGGATGAGTTGAACATCATCCATCTTGTGCGCTAAACAGGTTGGGACGGATATTAAAATGTATTTGCAGCTCCTATTTGATGATGCCACTGCTTCTTCTTCTCTCTCTCTCTCTCTCTCTCTCTCTCTCTTCCATCTTGTTATTGTGCGATTTGGTTGTCTCCCACCTCCCATCAGTCGTCCCTCTCTCTTTTGTGCTGTCCTGTCTCATCCTTTTCAAATTCCTCTCCTGTCTGCGTTCCCTTTTCTCTACCTTCCCACACCCATCTGTGCCTGTTCCTCCTCCTCGCATTTCTCATCTTTCTATTTCATCTTGTAATCCCTCTCCTCTCTCAGCTCCACCCTCTCTCCCTGTGCCTCTTTCATCCCGCCCCGCATACTCTTCAGCACCACCGCTTCCTCTCTTTTCGTCTTTATACAAGGAAGGTTTCCTTTTACAAACCACGGAGCATGACAGCTCCCAAGTTGGAGATATATGGCCATGGACACTCCATGGGCTGGCTGGTGATGGAAGAGAGTGTTTTTGCCTTTTCAATGTAGATTTTACATTTAGTCCGTGATGCAACTCTTCTCCTGTACGCCATGTTTTATTAACCTCACCAAACTTCTAATAGTGTTATCTGAGGTTGTTTTCGGTTTCATGTGACTTATACAATAGATCATAAAACACACACAGGGTACCTTTAACACTAATTATGAATGACCGACGGACTTTATGTGATGAAATTGGAGACAACCTCAGACACCACCGTGATGAATGCAAGACAGAAAGAAACATTGTGCAACGTGTTTTCATTTTGAAGCTCACATTTTTGTCTGCACCTCGCTGTGTGTGCATGTTAAAAACACAACATGTAAATCAAACTAATCTAGCTTTCTTTTCCCACTTCTTGTGCGGTTGTTTGCCTTTTGTCCATTCTATTTCCTCCACCATCTTTGTGATCTACTCACCCAGGGAGATCTTCTCCCCAGAGTCAGCTGGCAGCACAAAGATGAGCAGGGTCATCGAAGACAGCAACACACAGGGAATGAGCAGGTTCAGGGCGTAGTAAAGCGTCCGCCGCCGTATTGTCACGACAAACGTCACATCTGGGTAAGGCTCCTTACAACAATCGTAGAAGTTCTCGCTTCTGGTGCCGGGAACTCCTGGAGGAACATTGACAGAGAGGAATGCACTCCTTTGCTCTGTGACTGGATGTTTTATATGAGGATGCGATGTAAATGTTTCACCGTTCTCACCAATTAAGTCCCACTCTCCATTGGTCATGTAGCCTGAGATGTCAGCGTCGTTCATCTGGAGGTCCAGCAACCAGCCGTCATACGTCCAAGAGCCGAACTTCAGCTCACACTTCTGGATGTCAAAAGGGAACCAGCGAACGTCCACGTTGCAAGTGCTCATAAAGATTCCTGAGAAGACAAAAGAACAGGAGGCAGAGGGTTAAAGCTCTGCAATCAATGGACCAAATGACAGCGTTGACCCCTGCAGAGGTGACAAGGTGAAAAATCACCCGGAGGACCACTTGTAAAGAAAACCTGTCCTGAATATCAAGTAGCTTGTCAGAAAGAATCATTCACTCATTTCATATCCATCCAGCTCCAATGAACTCAAGCACCTTACATTGTTATATGGTGTGGAATGTGCTGCATCACAACCAGGAGTACCCACTGTCATGGGATTTTTATTAACATTCTGCAAGTCTACAGAGTTTGGAGGCTAGAGAGGTGAAAGCAAAGACTACATTACAAACAACCAACCATCAAAGAAATGTCTTTAAAAAAACAACAACTTGGCAGCAGGGTTGTCACCCGCAGGTTTCAGAAACATATGCTGTTTCTGCGCTCACAGCTGTTAGCTGAGCCTCGGCCACAGAAGGAAACATCAACAGTGACATTGCAAAATGAGATTGTGCACCCTGCTCTAATCATAATGCCGCTTTTATTATGCAAATCAAACGCCCTCACATGTGTATGTGTACACTTGTACGCTGGTGTCCAACCCACAAAAACGAAGAATCACAAGGATCTTCGCAGTGGTCGCTGGCAAACTGCAGCCCTTAAAGTAATTACTGAAATAAATGAATCAAGGCCTGCTGAGACGTTTCAGAGGCACGCCGAACCAAAATGCCATCGAGGACTTACAGCCAGAGACATTCGTTATGAAGCTGCCGATTATGCAAATCAGCCTCCAGAGTGGAGGTTAGCGGGTTGAAGGCTGCTCTCAAAGCAGAGGCTGATCACAAAAATGACACCGACGTAAGTAGTATCAATACATTTCCTTTTTATATACTCCTTGCTCTCTCAAATAAATCCAGTTACTGACACCCAGTTGTTGTATTTGCTACATGAGGACAGTGTCTTTATAATTACTGATGTTATGAGCCTCTGCGGCACTAAACCTGTAATTACACTAGTAGTTCTGTGTACCTTTGCAGTCCACTGATCCGTTCTCCTTCATGCACAGTGTGATGTTGTACCCTGCCTCTCATCACAGATATCCGGTAACCTTGAAGCAACGCTCACAAAAAAGAGACACCTGGATTTTTCTGCGACTTAATAATCCCTCTCTCTCTCTCTCTCTCTCTCTCTCTCTCTCTCTCTCTCTCTCTTTCTCTCGCAGCACGGCTCCCAAAATAAAACGCCATCATTCTGAAAATCAAGAAGGCATTACAAGACCGGGAGACAAGGTTGCCCGTTTGCAAATGTCACTCAATCAAGATAGGAGCCAAAACCTGTTACGCCTTATCTCCCGGTATATACCATTAAACCCAAACATGACGCCTTTACCTCTGCAGCTCGGTTTTTCTACAAATGATGGTGTGCAGCAGACACCTGAGATCCTCCACCTTTAAATTATTTACCGTTTGTCAAGCTCCTTCTCCATAACTGCTACCCACAGACCTGTTGCCTTTTATCTACTGATCATAACAGCCCAAAAAGACCTCACGAATTACAACCAGGCTTGTGTGAGGGAGTCAAAAAAACAAGCTGGTTAGCTGCATATTCTCTTTCCCTTTTCTCTTCATTTTTTTTTTATTTAGTCCATCTCTCCCTGCTCTCTTTCTCATCATCTTTTCTAGTAAAATCTCTTTTCCTTATTCATTCAAAGCAGGGCACTATCTCTCTATTCTTTCCCTGGTTGGCTCTGATCCAAATCACAGCATGAGGGAGCTGTATTTACATTCAGCAGCACCCTATTAATAAACATGGACCACTGAATAGAATTGATACGCTGGCTTTCTGAGCAGACAGTCCTCGACTTTTACTTCAGAAGGCCATTTCACCTCAACCGACCATCTCCTTGTGTTCGATCCAGCCTGCTGCTGGTGTACAAAGGAATGCAAAGTAAAGTAAAAAATCCGTGTAAACCCAGGGGAGCCGCTATGTTACTGTTACTGTATTATTTTCACACTTGCACAGGTCTTGCGTTTGGGTTATGACAGAAAACGGAGGAAGCGTGCGCCTCCTATTTATAGGTGTTGCTCACAGCGCTGAGAATCTGAAACCAGTGAGAAACAAGCCATGCTGTTTTATTCTAATAAAATATTAATGTTAAATGTACAAACAGTTGAGACATGCAGATATCGCAGAATGAGATGCTGCCTCCGCATCGGATAGGATGATAGGAAAGGGAGAAAGGAATGAAGAATAGTGAGAGCGTGAATGAATGAAAACAAATAAAGAAGATACTTCACCTGGAGGCAGGTACTCGGCGTAGCCGCTGGAGTTCACCAGAACATTGGTCTTAAAGGTGGAGTCAAAGTCGTCATCTGCACTGAGGAAGGACAGAGAAGGAAGTGACACTACTTGTTGAAATATAATGTGTGTTTGTATGAGGCAGGAGTTGAGTTGTTTATCCGTGTTTTACCTGTTGTAGAGCAGGATGTCTGGTGTCCAGACCTGGTCTGTGGTGAAGCGGAGGTTTTTCACTCCGGGATGTTCGCTCTGGTTCCACTGGAGATAGTGGTCGAACCAGCCCTTAAACACACAGAGGCAGATACGGTCTGTGTCCCAATGCACTGCAGTACAGGCAAGCTACTTTATCTTCAATCCCCTCAGTTTACAGGTAAGATTCATATTTATCAAAGACATAAATCACTTTTGTATATTATATATATAAAGGTGAGCTGTTTCTGAAAACAACTCCACTTTCTTCTACGTTTTAGAGATTCACATTTTGACCTTAATCTTGAAATCCCTCTTCTCTCAATCTCAACCATGATCTTAACTTACTGGTTCAGATAAAAATCACCGAGCAACAAATTCATGATCGTGTCTTTTCAGGGGTCCTTACCATCCGTAGCCACATGTTAGTGGTGAGAACCTGGTTCTTCTCATCCTACAAAATATAAATGAAAAAAACAATTGCACATTTATTTTTCGAATCATTTGTTCTCGAGCCAAAGAGTAGAAACTATTTTGCATCCCTATTTAAGATTAAAGAAACATTTTTATCTCCAAATCCCGAAAAACACTGGAAAAGGTCTCCTATTATTATTGTTCTCCAGGAAATTCTTAACAACTTTAAAACATCATCGTATATTTGATGGCGGCTGTAGACACCTACCACGTCCATGATCTGTACCATACTCAGGGTGAAGACGACGGTGAGCGGGTGGGAGTCGTTGCTCACCGGCCGCTCCATCCGGTTGTAGTCCTTCAGGAGGTTCTTCAACAGGTTCCTCTGGTGAGGACCCTGCAACGACACTAAAGAGGCAGAACAATTTATAATATTTATATAAATCTGGGAAAACAAGCTGCACTCCACACTATTGAAAACATAAACTCTGTATGTTAAAGTTGAGGTCCCCTATAAAGCCCTTAATAACAGATTAAGTCTGTGTTTTCTGCGTATAGCGAATAAAAAGGACACCAATCTTCAAGAAGAACCTCCATCAAAAACCTCACGAGGGAATCAAATGAGACTTTTGGGTAGGAGTACAGTCAGGCAGGGACGGATACTCAAAATAAAAAAACAAAAGTAATGTTGCTGATCAAATCAGAAGATTTAGCCCTAACGAACTGAACTCCCTTATCTATGAGCAGCCGAAGAACAAGACTAAAAAGATAAGCGATAGATGAAAGAGAGAGAAACGGGATTTAATGATGAAATTTGCAGAAATATTAAAAAAAAGATATTTTATCACCATTAGTCACACTCATCTTGACTTTTATGGTCAAAGGAAGAGAGATCCATCATCTCAGTCAGATTTAATTATTAAACATTCATTTAAAAAAAAAAAATACTGAAGAAAATCGACAAACAGGAGAAAGATTCAGAGAGAGCGTGCAGAGCAGTCGGTAAACAAAAAGTAATTAGAAATAGTGTTAAACCTTATTAGGGGGTAATTGACACTAATGATTGTATAATGAGGTTAGTTTGAAGTGCTCAGACCTAATACACATACAATATTAAATAGATTTATTTATGCACTAATTGAAGCAGACTGCACTGTGAACCACAAATGTGCAGACCAATTCAGAATGAATTAAGAATGTTGCTGCAGCTTCTTCTATGTTTCCAATCAGTGGGTCCATCATAACACAGCCAAGCTTTTAAAGGTTTCTTAATCCACCATTCATACCACGCTTAAGCACAGGGAAGTTATTATTAAATGATTTAATTTAATTTTTTAATTTATTATACTATATTGATCCCTTTAAGGGGGAAATTTGTCTCTGCATTTGACCCATCCCTGTATATAGGGAGCATGATGCTCAAAAGATATAAGATTTCTCCAGTCGGTGCAATAGTAAAGCAATTAAAACATGTCTGCTGTTATATAACCTCGACAGAGTGCTTATAGCCAGATGCTGAACATACTGTGTGTGAGACATTGTTGAACAGTGTGGAAGATTCCTTTTGTTTCTGACTTTGAAGCTTATTTGTGGAGCTCGTCAGGGTTCAAGGGGCTCTAGTGCAAAGAACATAACAGGTTGAAGTCGCGGTAGCAGTGGCAAAATCTTCATGCATTGAAAGATGGTTTCAGTCAAAGCAAAGTCATGGAAAAGCCCTGGAGCCCTTTCCTTCCATCTAGTGCCTTTAAAACTCAGTGTTCATCAGTATAGTCTGAAACTCTTTTCCCCCTTGTCTCGTCTTTGCTGCACTTTCTGGTACGAAACCTCCTCTTGACAACACAAACAAAAAGAAAAGCATTTCATCGCTGGTACTTCTGCCTGTGGGGAAAGTTCGCCTGTTTTCCTCTCAGCTCTGTCAGCCTTTATATTCACTTCTGTTGCTTATAGAGCCCCGTCAGCTCAGCTGCAGTAACGCGTCCTCAACACAACAAGGGAGGCAAGACAGAAGAGCCGATCTATGTGTGCAATTTGATTGATCTGTGAACTGCTTTCTGTGGGGGTAAAATCTCCTGTCACGCACACAGATTCAGACGGAAAGAGGCTTGTGGAACGAGGAAAGAAAAGCAATGAAATGTTAGGACTGCTCAGATATTTCTACACACTGTTTCTGTCAATCGGCCCGTTTAAACATCTCCTGTAGTGGCATCCATCCCCGAGGTCATGTACATCCAAAAAAACAGAAACATAATTTTGGAAAAATCCTAGAGATTTCAACAAAAAAAGCAACCAGGTGAGCCAGTTTTCACTTTTCTTCTCCTGGAGTCTTTTTTTCTCTACTTTGAATTCTTGTTCCAACACAACCGACTCCAATTCCTGAATTCCTTAAATCAGACTTTGAGACTAAAGTGCCGCTGCTGAAATTCTGAAAACATCATAAAAGACGTAGAGAGAGAGTCGTTCAGGCTCACCGTGAATCAAAGCAGAGAATCCAGAGAGGAGCAGAGCCACCGAGTGCCACATCTTGGTGGTGGGGAGCAGGAGAAAAGAGGAGGCAGAGGAGGAGAACCTCCGGATGTTGAAGGAGGAGGAGGTGGAGGAGGAGGAAGAGGAGGAGGGGTGGGAGGACAGACTAAGGAATCTGCTGGAGATCCCCCGGTCTGCATCCAGTCGGCATCAGAGGGAAGGAGTGTGAGCGTGTGCTGGAAGAGAGGGAGCGCAAGGGGAGGAGGAGGAGGAGGAGGAGGAGGAGGAGATGATGGCTCTGGGCTCTCTCTCTCTCTCTCTCTCTCTCTCTCTCTCTCTCTCTCTGTCTCCTTGTCTCTCTGGGAGGTGGGACTAAAATGGAGAGCACGGGGGAGAAAAATGCCAGTGATGGGGGAGAATGGGGTTGAAGATAGAGCAGGGGGTGGAGGAGGGAGAGCTTTTGATTGGTCTGTCGCCATGAGTTGACCTTTTTTTTCAAGACAATAGAAACAGATGATGCACAACATTTTAAACGCAGCTGGAGAATTGATTGAAAAAGTGTGATAAGGAAAAAGGTTTACGTCCAGAAGAACGTGGTAAAGCAGCTCATAGAAAAAAATAAGAGAATGTTTTAAATATGCTTTTGCCTCTCAGTGCCATTTTTTTGTGTAAAAACTGAGCACAAAAAACAGCAGTATTGGACAAAAATGAATCATCTCTGCATTTAACGTGTCCCATCCCCTTTTCCCTTTTAATATCGATGTGTTATGGCTGGTTAACACGTGCAGCACAACATGCATCCCAAATATATGGCAGCTGGTTTCACACATGATAACACACCACAGTGGTTACGGCCACGCACTGCTAGACTGTAAATGTGTGCGTCTGTGTGTGAGCGGCTCCTACGGTGGGGGGTGAGCTTTGAGTCATAGGGGCGATGGACTCCAGTTTAATTGCAAAAGTGCTGGGCTCTGCAGGAGGGCATCAGGAATGTGCATAGTTAAACTCTACTTCTCATTTGTCCTCACGGAATGCTGATGCAAGGGCAGAGACAGCGACAAACCGAAAGACTGGGAGAGGGAGGAGGGGGGGGGGGGGGCAAGAGAGGAGGAAGAGTTGGACTGTATAATAGATTACCCTATTACTTGCTCTGCCCTTCGGAATTACCCCTCTCCTAGGCAGCCTGTCGCACATCCAGGGCGCTCCCGAGCTACGGAGTCATGCTCGGCTGCACACACAGGATGGAGAGTGGCCCTCGGAGGCGAAGAGAAGGATGGCTAAGTCACCGGTTTAAAGCAGAGAAAACTGCATCACGCCTGGAGTGAGGACATACATTGTGCATCAGCAATGTATCATCAAAGGAGAAGAATCCTGTTGCTGCTGCATCCTGGCAGTATATTGCTGCTTAAACGTGTGCAAAACTGACTTTGAGTTCATCTCGTGAAAGTAAAAAAAAGAAAAAGAGAAGCAGCTCCTTGTGCTGTTATGCGCCAAGCACCAGTGTGACACAAAAAAACAAAATTCATTAGGCTTCATAAAAACACAGATTGAAGGCACTGAGGCGTGTGTGACATCTGGTGGTTCGTTTTCAGACTGCATGCTGGCTGGAGCTCAGTGACACTGGCAGAGAGAGTGAGGCCATGGTGTAAATTAACGAGGAAGAAACCAGGCTGAATGAAACGAGAACATGATGAGATCCAACGCTGTGAAGAGGCTCATTAGGACACAATACAGGCAGATGAATGGAAACACTGAGCGGGGTTGTGGACTGAAGCCATATTAATGATGATGCTGGACGGAGATAATGAGGATTGTGAACATCATGTGGACGACAATATGGTGCCACTCTCTGAACAGCTTTTTGTTGTTGTTGTTGTTGTTGTTGTTGTTGTTGTTGTTTGCTGTTCCTGATTGTGATGCTCATTGCACAGCAGCAGTGATGGCCATCACTCTGACCTGGCTTGACTGCAGCTCATCCCTCACTGTTCTAAATGCTGCATGCCGTCCCTGACATTGCAGCCATCAGGGCTGCTGTGCTGTGTGGTGTTAATTACTCTGCTGATTGGATTAGGCCCTCTCCTACGCTGACACTTAATAGGGTATTATCGACAAAACCAGCACATACATCCACCTGCCTGTGACGTCTGATTTGTCGAGAGTGGCCTTTTTGGTCTTGAATGGAGTTGAGTAGATGAAGTTCTCTTCTAATAGACAACTATGTCCTCCTGCACCAACACGCCCTGGAGAAATTGGGAAAAAGGTTGACTGCTGTCCACCAATTTAGCATCGTACTGCTGTATCAGTGTGGATGAGGCAGAACCAGATGTGTTCCCTCTCTTCCTTCCACATTGTCTTCTTGCTTGGCAAAACCTGAACACTATAAAGCTACAGCCATGAGACAGTTAGCTTAGCATAAAGACTGGAAACAGGGGGAAACAGCTAGCATGGTTCTGTTCAGAGGTAACAAACTCTACCTACCCTTTAAACTCGGTAGTTAACATGTCATGTCTTGTTTCTTTAATATGACGTGTAAAAAGGACAAGTTGTGGTTTTATGGTGGACTGTTTCAGGGCCGGGTGCAGTGACTTCCCGGAGTCTCCGCTGGTTGAATGGCAACCTCACAGTAACGGATTTCTTGGTTGTAGTTTTCAATGATAAATTAGACATGAAGTCATTTCTGTTGAGTCTGCTGGTTAATATTTGTTCTCCAATTTCTTGATGAATATTTTGCTATTGGATTCAAATGCAGATTTACTTTGAAAATACGTAATGTGAATACACTGTGTTGTGAAAGAATCATTAGTTGTTTACATATAGTGACAGAAGGATATTCAACCTTTTACAGTATAGATTCAAATGAAAAAGTGGTTGTTTGAGATATGTTGACTTTAATGTTATACTCTATTTATGGTCATTGATATGTTCTTGCAATTTTTGTATTAAATGAGGGTAAATAACATAGAATATTGTATTTCATTTCTGGTAAATATCATGTGATCTTTTGAAAAACCCAAAAGTTAGTTTAGTTTAACAAAACTTACTGTTCTGAAACTTTTTCTAGAATTCTTAAAGACTCTTCAAACCATGTGAAAAAAAACACAGTTCGCTGCACAATTAATACAATGTTTAACCAGTTCAAAAAATTAACCAAAATGTAACACATTAATTATCAGTTGTATTTGTATATAATTTCTATATGAATAATACTTTCTATAACTGTGTATTTTCATGCAAAATAAAGCTTATACAGTATATGTGACTCGAATGTAACGGTAATGCGCGAGGGGCAGACAGATATGAGAGTGGTACACATTGTCTTATCTAACTCTTGGCAAATAAGGATATTCCCAAAAAATGTCAAACTATTCCTTCAAACCTAATCGTGACTTTTGACCTTTAAAGCACAATCATTTCTTACTGCTGTTTGCATCCTAATGGGACGTTTTTTATCTTTTGACCGACAGATCAGACTGAAGCAATTAATATCCTGACCAGAAGATGAAACTGACACGCACTCAAGATTTAGCGCAAAGCAGATTTGCCATAGACCAGCCACAGCAATTAGTGGCCCTAAAATACCAGTTTAATTTCACTCTTTTAGCTGCCAAACGATGATTTGCAATGGAAGATACTAATTGAAAACCTCCTGGCGATCTGCCACAGAGGCAAAAAATAATTGACAGACTTAGCCACCGGCCACAGCGGCCAGGATTTACAAGCACATGGCTGGAGGCTTGAATTAATCTGAAGCCTTGCAGATGTGCATATATCCTTTCAGCATCTTGTTATTTAAAGGACAACTTAATTCAAGGAGATTTTGCAGTCTTTTCCACCACAGCAGAGTGAGTCTTGCTTCAGCAGAATGAATAGTCATATTTTAGGATCTAGTTCTCTGCAAGGATGTGAGACGTGGTCTGTATTTACCAGAGACCATCCGCAAGGGTTTGTAGTGTTGACAGTCACGCTCTGAGGCACAGACAGTTGGGAGCTTCCTGCCCGCAGAATATCAAAACAAAAAAATCGAGACAGCATCTGGCTAAGTCTCAGAGTGGAACATAGTAGTTGTAGCACAATTAATCTATTTTACATCTGGAAGGATGTCAGACTGTCTGATCAGACTACCACCAGGTTTTTGCTCACCCACATCTGCAAATGAATACCCCCCCCCCCCCCACCCCAACCAGCCTCCTTCACCCTCTATAGCTCTCTTTAAATACATGTCTTCAGATTAGATAATGCCTTTCTTTATCCTGCTACTACCCATATGCGCTCCGCCCACCCCGTTGCTTCTTAGGTCTTTCCATCCGGAGGGGGCCATGTTATCTGTAGACCCATCTGCCACAAGGATTTAGATAAATAAATTATGCTGAATGTCATTGTTAGGACTTTAATGCTTAAAACTCCACCCTCCTCTGTGCATATTGTTCGCTTAAGGAGTGACACATTTGATATTTCATAAGCTCATAAGTATATCAGATCTCTGTCTCACTTGATTAATCCGCAATACTAATCTGCTGAATTGATATTGAGTAAAGTTATTTTCTTTTGAAGGTTAGATTTATTTAATTAAAAAAAGAAAAAAGACTATATATCCTATAAACCACTTGCCATTGAAGAAATTACAAATGAAAAGTGATATAATAGCATTTCTTCTCAGAATGAATTTCAGGCAGAGTTTCCAATGTATAAGCGGATGTGTGTCGTCCCCCCCCCCACACACACACACACACATACATACACACATACACACACAGGAAATCTGCCAATCCCAGCAAAAAAACCAGACAGATGACTCATTCTTTGCCTTTGCTCAATGCAACATCTGCAACTTAGATGCTGTGCAGCCATTAAGCCCCTCCAGCTTTAAAGGAGGATGTCCTGATGGTGGACAATCGTACAAAGCCAGACAAGGAAATACATGCCTGAAAATGTAATGGATTTCTACAGGTATTTACCTCGTATGGCATCATATGCAGGAGAAGTTCATAACCTGAGCTTGACTCTGTGGGAGGGGCTCCGTGATGCTGAGGCAGCTAAAGGATTGCTGGAAAGTTTATACACGCAGAGCAGGGATGTTTGAAATATTTTGATTTGATCCCACCGGGTTCATTAGTGTTGCAGCTTGATCAGTTTTTGTGGTTCGACTTTGAATTTAAACTTTCCGGATGAAAGTGGTGTGTTTGAGTTCGCTTTAGGACAGATCTCTTTGTGACTCAGGCAGATGTGACCTTCAGGACCGTA